CCGTAGCGCCACTTGGCGGCCGGGAAAGATACATATTTGACCGACTATACCTGGCTAGCCTCAGCCCTGCTACCCTTGGACCTGCCTGCATAGGGGAAATGGGGTCAATGGTGGATCCCTCTGGGGCTTTCCTAATAAGACGCGCAAAAAGTAGTACCTATATTGCAACGAAACTTCCAGTGACCTCGAGTTAATGAATTTTACACCTATTCTAAAAAAAAAAATTGCCCTGATTCGAATATGGATGACCTTGGTTAACTTTTTTGAGTTTTATTTGCTTCCACTCACAAGTGTGGTTTTTGGGGCTGATTTCGAGTTTAGCGCCCGTTTGAACCGTTTGAAGAAGTTTCGATAAATGGTGGTTATGTAACATGTTACAAAGCTATCGTTGGTGGTTGTCAGTCACCGGCACTCTATGTAGATGGCCGGCAGGAAGCCTGCTGGTCGACCTGACCTGACCCGACCCGATCTACCCAAAATGCATGGAGTCATCATTTTTGTTCAAGACTAACATCAAACTCGTACTCGGGACCCCGATAACAGCTACGGCTCACTAAGTTCTAGCAGGCGGCCAGATTTTTCCTACTTTTGGGCGTTGACCGAAGATGACCCGGCCATTGGCCAAGACCTTAAAATTGGGCATCATTGGCTTTCTCTCATCACGGGCAGCATTCTCGCTCGTCCACGAAGCTCTACCTCGATCAGGGGCCGAAGGCATGCCTTAGCGTTACGTTGGTAAGCGTTTTACCTTAGCGACCCGTAAAATACGAATAAGAGCTAGCCTACAGCAACACAGAAAGCGTATTCGATAGCTTTTTTAAAGCTCTTTCGCCAACTTCGCCTCAGATATGACTTCGGGTCTATGGCTTGTGTACCATAGAGTCCAAACAGCTAAACGGATGGATTTTGCCGAAACATTTGTTATGTAACAACCTATGATTCAGTGAACGTGTATGATATTCATGTTATCACCATCGTTTTTGTTTCGTCGAAACACGTCGCATGGCTTACAATTTGAACTTGAATAGAAAACTTGACATCAGGTAAAGGTCATGACCTGACTAGAAAAGAACTTGCTGCATATGGATCGATCTGTGTTACTGAGCTGAACACACACCAGGTGCTGTCATCGCTCTACAACGTCTCCATTAAAAGTTGTTGTCGAAAATGTGTTAGAGACCTTTGATGACCTAATCTCTGACCATTCCAGTCACCACTGGTCATTAGCTGCACCTTGTCTCTAAAATGAACAAGGTGCCATGGCTACAAAAGTATCTAGCGTTTTTAGCATATTCTTTCAAAGCAGAAGGCATCGTGCTTTTCCCATATCTTATCATGATTGGTGAGGTCACATACCTATTTGACCTGACTTCACAATCACTTCTCAGATGTAAAATCCCAGATCCATGAAATGTTGGCACTTATAATCCCATTCATTACACCAAATTTTAGACTTATAGGAGTCAGGAGATAATCTATAGGAATGACAAGATTGCAGTTTTAAGAGGCATTAAAACTGAACTTGACATGACATTGTGACCTGACCTCAGGTGACCTTTGCTTGATTTTTATGCACGATGCAAAATTGATGTACAATAAGATATACCGCTGCTTTCGCGGCGCTGCGTGCCGAGGTTTTTCTCCGGGCACACAAAAAAAAAAAAACGGGAGTGTGGCTAAAAACACCCCTACCCATCAAGACGAAGGCCGGAAACCCGACCCCCCCCCACTCAAAAATCCGTGGCGACGCCCCTGGTCAAATAGAGCACATCCATCAGTCTTTTTGCCCGTAGGGTCCTCGCGTCCCTTTCGTTACCTATACCGTGCCCCGGGCTGGACGGTCACCTGCACACAGAAAAATATTGACACCGTTAGCGGTGTAATTGCACAGTACATATCTGAGCACTTGAGGAAAGTTAATTTAGTCCCTTCCCCGCTTAAATTACTCGCGCTTCCAAATGAACACCAGGAAGAAGGTAATAGAACACTGTTAGGAGGGTTGGGTGTTTTACTACATGTAGCAAAACACCCAACCCTCCTAACAGTGTTCTATTACCTTCTTCCTGGTGTTCATTTGGAAGCGCGAGTAATTTAAGCGGGGAAGGGACTAAATTAACTTTCCTCAAGTGCTCAGATATGTACTGTGCAATTACACCGCTAACGGTGTTAATATTTTTCTGTGTGTGTAACCAGAATCGAAGTAGAGCTGAGGAACTCCTACTCCTAAGGAGTTTGCTCTGAGAGTTACCCAGACCGCTAGTATGACCCGGTGACCCGTCTCCATCAGACGTACTGAGCCACCTTTCAGGACAGCTGCAGGAAACAATATTCTTTATTACATTCGCAAAGGAAGATAAATAAGAAAATGCAGGGGGCAGGAATTGAATGGTCGTACAAGCATTGAAAAGCATTGTGCCTGCCACTTTCGAGCAAAGTCTAGGATTGATATAAGCTAGGGCAAGCACACATTATATTGCCTTTTTAGGTATGACTTATAGGTATACATAGGTAACTTAAACCTTTCGCTTATAGCTGGACAATAAGCAGTAAGCACCAAGGTGTGCAAATGGATTCCGGTAATAAATCATAAACAGCAATGCCCACTGGTGCAGCTCATAATCCCAGAGTAATTAGCCAGATTTCTGTTCAGATTAGCAACCATTCCGACAAAAAATGGCTCCACTGCGCTGACGCCTTCCGGAGGAATCTCACCATTTAGCTTCCGTCCGCATCGCTCGGCCCATTGCCCGAGCCATTTCAATCACATCCGAGTGTTCCATATCTGTCCAAAGCTCATTGCTCAGTGCCGAAATTGGACGCCGCCGCTGCTTATTGGCCTCATGTCCATTAGTGTGATTAGTAGCCAGCTTTACAGCTTAGGTATCGCTTCCTCCCTTCTCCATCGCAATTTCGGTAGCATCGCGATTATGCGAGAACGGCAGCTCCCCTTTCCCGGCCTTTATGATGGCACTCTTATGAGTCGACAGTCACATTCGTCATGTTTGTTTGTACGTTTTGGTAATAAAGAACGTTTCTTTGTCAGTTTCTCCAGCGCCGACGGTATCTCGCGGTGAAAAATGACTCACGGTGTCGGTGGCATAATGGATGACGGGTAACTAACGACCTCAACATCTCTGGGAGCGGAGAACCGCGCGATTTGCATTTGTTACATTCAGTAAATATTTCCGCCTTGCATGCCAACGAACGCTCTCATCGTTTTACGTTTAAAGAGCGCACCAATATCTTCGAGACTTCTTGGAAACGGAATTCATCGTATAAACAGTAGGGAGCCATCAGCCAATAAAACCAACACCCAAGTCCAAAACTAAACAGGCATGGTATGCTTATTGCTAATGCATACAGTAGGTACTGTAAAAACTCAGACTTTGCACAACAATCGTTTTCAGCGTAAAACCTTCCGCGTATAGGTATGCTCACATTCAGACATACCTATACTGAATGACGGCAGAGGAAGAGGCATACAGTGTGGTGCCGGCAAGATCAGTGCTCTCCACGGTAAGATAAATGGCGCCGCACGCCATGTTCATTTGCAGGCCGTCTAATCCGTCATGCTAAGCGGGCCATCACCGGCTAACTAGCCAGGTGTCATCCGCCGCTGCCGGCGCGTCCGGCTGATGTATGGAGCGCGCCGAGCTGCAGAGGCCTGCAGCCGCGCTGCTAAGCCGCCCGCTAGTCAAACGGTAACCGGCCCGAATGTGGGGCTGTCAATCACACAGAGATCTGATGGGCAGCCGGCGGCCGGCGCGCGGCGGGAGGCGGTGATGAAGGCAGCGGGATGATCAGATTGAATCGAGAAAAATGACGAGGCCGTTTGCTGCCGCCACCTTCAAGTCATATAAGAGACTGACGACTGAGTACTGAGTGCTGAAACAGCCCCTGCTACAAAATGGGTAGCAACTAGCAAGAGCGTTGAACTTGCCGGATACTATAGGTAACGGAAAAAGAACCAGAAGGGTAAGCAAGTAAGAAAGCAACGTTGTGGTTAATGCACGACTGATCGTTCAAGTTTCCTCGCAGTGCCTAGCCAGTTCTCGCTTTTTGACTTGAACTAGCAGGCTCTAGCTGTCTCTCTCGGTGTCTTATCTCAGTTGGTGCCATTGGAACATTGGGCAGGAATTTCTGGCACTTGCTTATGATTTGTCGCAAAGTGCGATTACATGATGGTTCACCAACTGGGTCATGGATGCGCATTGCGAGTCTAATTGACAGACGTTTTTACCTACTGTATTTACCAACGCATTTCTCTTCCGTTCAGGCGATGGGACTACACTAGTTTTTTCTCGAAACTCTAGCTCGAGCAGGGACCCCCCCCCCCCCACACGTTACACGCTCTGAAAAAGACCAATACGGGCCTGGGTTAAAACCACCCCCTGAAATTGGGAAGTTCATGTATAATAATAATGATGATCATAATTTCGGTAGATACTGGACACCTTCTGCTGTCAGTTGAACATAATCGCGTGGACAGCAGAGCTCCTGGCAAACCGCATTTCAGTACTTCACTTCTCAACAATTATCGGGCTTCGTTCGGTCACTGCTGAAAAGCCCTCACCGACAATGTCACCATGCTCTACTTATGATTTTAAACGATCGAGCAATCAATGGAGCGCCATAACAAATTGTTGATTGAACCAGTGTAAGCTATAGCAGTTGTCGGTAACCTACGGCTGGCGAGTAGCCATGACACAAATGTTTACTTGTCAGAGAATCGTCCATCCTCACTATGCGCTTCTGCGAGGTGAAATACGGACAACACTAGCGCCACCTAGGAAAGCAGGAAGGACATACAGCGCCCCTAGCGGAGAGATACATAGCTTCCACCACCTGAAATCAGGTAGTTAAAGAAACCTACGATAAACAACCGTAATAAAGTAAGAAGGCAAATCATGATGGATGCTATAAATTGACAGAATACAAATGCAACGAATGCAATCATGGCACACGGAACAAAATTCCGATAGTTCAAACCAAAGAAAGGATTAAGTTCAATACATTTTACATTTATTTATGAACAATGCAGAGCACACGTTCAATGCAAAACACTGAAAAATGGCCACTCCCTATCGCACGACACGCAGCGTTCAAGTTCATATGGTCAGCTCGGCAACCAGTTACACGCATTCACTGAGTTTCTAAGCGCTGGTCGGTCAAGTTCGTACGATCGTACACGCCATCTCGCGTAACGACCAGCCTCAGACGAAGCTCAGACGAAGCCTACTCCTCCATCAGCGCCAAATCGCTCACAGTTCGCACAAACCAGCCGCCCGCGTCACTGTCATACGTCTCATAGCTCAGTTTTCGCTGCCCACAGTTCGCCCAAAACAACACACAACGCCCAGTTCGCCCAAACGCGTCACGGTCATTCACTTCACAGCTCAAAGTCGTCACGCAGCTCGTTGTACTCGAGCACGTGCTTCCTGATGGCTGACGCATCCACCCACGTGAGGAAGTCTTCCATGCTGCGTGTCACAAAGAAGGCCGGGTCCCTGATCACCTCGGGGCCGATGCGCACGTGGCCCTGCTCGACGAACTGGGTGGCCATTTTGACGGTGGGCGCCATCTTGAGGCGCACCATGAGCACGGGCAGCCGCCGGCGGCAGAAAGAAGAGGCGGTGATCTTGTCGACCAGCTCCAGGTTCCACTTGGTGGGGATCAGACCCATCTGGTAGGTCTTCTCGATCAGCTGAGCCGAGGCCTCCACGCGGTACTTGTCCTTCGGGTCGAGGTTCTTTATTTTGCGCGCGATCTCACGGATTTGGCGGGCCAGTTTGTTGTACTTTGTGTAGTCGTCTCGCTTCTTGATCTGGAACTTGCGCAGGATTTTCGCCTCGTGAAGTGTGTTGTCTGCCTCCCAGGATATGAAGTCAACTTTCTTCAGCAGCCGCTGCTCATGATATTTGAGCTTACGAACCATGATGAAGAATGGTTCTCAGGTTTCTGTAAAATGAAGAAAGCTGGTCGTCATTCGTGATGATGAGCTGTGTCTGGGCCCTGGGGGTGTCGCAACCACAAAGTCACATGGCGTAAGTCCAGCTTGAAACAGCGATTAAAGTTAGTAGATGCAACCGTACAACATAAAAAAATAACATGAAGATGACGCAGAGCACAGGAACTGGCAAATGTCTATCAGATTACACACACAGTAATTATACATGCAGATTAGCATGCAGTCAGGCCAGAGTGACTTCTTTTTGTGGCAGGTGGATCAAATTTTGAAACATAATAAATGGATGCTTTGTTGTACCTAAGGTGACACTTGATGAATAAAATAACAGGGAAACCCTCCATGTCCTGGTGCAAGCAACAGTGCCCAACAATATGATATCCATGAGAAACAACCAGCTGGTGGGGGAAACGTTGCCATTTCAAAGCAGTGCCATTCATCAAAAATGATTTTTCCAATTTTAGAGTAAGTTTCCAGGTCTTGCTCCATCATGTAATTATGAATAGATGCAGAATTCTAGCCTGGTTTGCACTGGTTGGCAAACTTATCCACCTGGCCAAAATTTGGTATGTGGACTCTGCTGCTATGTTTTGCAGTGACTAGGATTCATATTGCATACAGCCCCACAGTAAATCTGCAACCCCTGAGAAGCTGTGCATTTGTGCAGCAATAAAATCTTGGCCATATAGCAATGCTTCATACTCTTGCAGCCTAGACACTCGACAGCAACTCGATTGAGTGAGACATTTAAACAGTCACAAAAAAATGATCCCAGGAGGCAGCAACAGGAGCTTTGTCAGCAGATGGCCATGCCTGAGTGAGGGGAATAGCATCATGAACTGCTTTCCAGTCTGGTTTTGTAGGCTGGAGAAGTCTGATCAGACTACTAGGACCGAGGGACCTGTCCAATGGACAGTGTCCAGTGCCCAATTGCCCATGCCATGCAACATGGCACATAGCTATGTTTTGGAAGCTCATTTGTTTACTGAGGTGGCTGAAAAGAAACAAAAGTTTTTCATGCAGGTGTTATGCGCCATGTCAATGTGGGATTTCTGATGATCATGATCGTTTGTCCTGGAATTCATGATGTCATGATACAACACTGCTGCGGTACAGCTTAAAATACAACACTTCACAATTTAGTGTTTCTTCAAAATCTCAGTTATTCCAGCATTATAATTTGCAAAGGTGAAGCAGGTGCACCATACCCACTTAGCAATTAACAGGTCATATTGATGTGCTAACCGCCGCCGCTTAGGTACTTCCGGTTTACTTCGACGACAGTCGACAGCAGACAGCCAACTACAGACTTTCAATGTTGCTCTTACCTCTGGTGTGTCAAAGATCACTTTCTCAGACAGCACTTGCAACAACTCTTGCAAAAACTGTCCAAAACAGGAATAACATACAATTTGTTCCCATTCACAAAACCTCACACATCAAGATTCACGAGGCTCCTTGCCAGCCAAACTTGTGCAAAACTTGTTCGCAGAATACGGCAAGCGGAAAGAAAGCCAATCATTACTCAACTTCAGCATAAGCTCAACTTGTTGCCTAGCAATTAGCCTATACAAACAACATACCACACGAAGCAGCACTAGTGAACAGAATTGGAGATGCATGTCGATTGTAGCTTTTGCGCCATAACGCTTTCAGTATTCAGCTCCCAGATTGCTACCAAATGATAAAGGACTAAAGTAATTCTGCCATCATGCGAAAAATAATAGTATTTCATTTCATGTTTTCTGCTTCTTGATTTGAGAGATATGACACAAGTGCGAGTGAAGCCGATCAATCACATTGTACCCGAAGACTTTGGCAGAACTACGTCTTTAATGCTTCAGTTGCTTGTCAATAGTCTGTCTTCAAAGTTAGGCATTCGACGACCCGCCTTTATTGCACCGAAGAGATGATCAAAGCGTGCAGATTTCTTTGATGAATGATAGGACCAATAAGACACTCTGCAGCTTAGCTCCCAGTTCCAAGGCACCCAGTAGCTCCCAGTTCGCTGATCGCTAATTTTCATTTCACAGACATAACGCTCCCGCCACTAGACCACGTCCAACCGCGGCCGCTACCACCACGTATCTAGCCAAAACAGCCGTGTACGTGAATATAAGTATTGTATTGATCCTAGAATCGCAATAATTGTACAAGGACTACAACGTATATACCAACAGCAAGCGGTAAGTGGATACAGGGTGATACAAACCGGCGTTACACGTGCCCCAGTGGTCCTCAACCCGGTCACAACACGTACCGAACACGGGCCGACGAAGGTGACACGGTCCATGACCCGACCGACCGGCGGGCCGGGCCGGGTCACACACCAACCAGAGGCCAGACAGCGTCCACAACACGGGTTATACTCGAACCGACTCACCACGACACCTCTCCGGCGCGACCACCCGGCGCCGGGCACCGTCAGCCCGCGGCCAGTCGCGCCGGCCACCGGACACACCGGCCGGGCACCCGCGCACGCATACAGACCACAACCGAGAATACACCATCACGAACGGCTACTATTTGGTCGGTCGTCATTTCAGAGGATAGCATTTGATCTCGACACACAGCGGCCGGCGGTCGCCCCGTCCGGAACGGGCGACGGCCCAGCCGCAAAAACATAGACGTGTATGTATAATTATACGGGCATTAGGTATGAAAACTGCACACTATCACATAATATGGGGGCACGGGACGAGTGGCGAACGGGTGTGGGGCCGGTCAGAATCATAGGTAACACGCGGCGGCGGCGGTGCGCGGGCCGAAATACGACGAGAGACCGCTCGACGGGCGCGGCCGCGCCGCGGAGGTAGAGAACAGTGTCTTTAGCGCGCAGGAAAGAGCGTTTGGCCTGACCGGGATTGGAGAGAAGAGACAGAAAGAGCGAACAGCGGCCGGGAGAGGGGAGGCTGGCTGATTTGTACTGGGCCCGGTTCGCCAACTTCCAGAGACGTTCAGGGCGGCGCACACAATAAATAACTTCGGACACACTAGCACATCTCACTCACACTCTCTGGGGAGCAGCAGTCGACTGGCGTATCCGCCTCGGACCACCGAGCTCCCACGGTAATCCACGCATAGCTGAGTATGGTAGCCACTTATAGACGCAATGCGTGTACGAAACAACAATCACCATCTTCACGGTACAGCGTGTGTTCATATCACCTCACGGAGAAAACGTCATCCGTCAAACAGTGGTCTGTGAGGCGTCTCGACTCGTCCAGCCACCCACCGTCCGGCGTCTGTCCCGTCAGTTCGTCAGTCCGTCCGCCCGTCAGTCAGTCTTTCCGTCTGTCTGTCGGACTGAACAGTGTCGGTCCCTCTCAGTCTCTCCGTCCGTCAGCGGTCTCCTGTCTATGGCAGCGGGTAAGGCGCATCCGATGAATGAGATCTAGATACAATGAAGGCGGCGGAGGCGGGTGAGGGCGCCGTCACGCGCGCGGCGCGGCGCGGCACGGCCGCCGGACGGCGCGCGGTGGGCGCGCGCCCGCTGCAGCCACTACTGCAGCAGGCACGCGCATGCGCACACGTCCGGCGCCTGCCGTCAGTGGCTCTGGTAGTGGCGCGTGCCGTCGCCCAGGTCCAGCTCGAGCTCGCGCTGCTGTCGCTGCTGGCGCAGGGAGCGCTGCCGCGGCAGGGTGCCCGTGGCCAGCGCCACGTCCGGCATCGTGGAGAGACGGCTATCCTCGGCGGCGCCGCGCAGGTTCAGCGCCTCCAGCTGCCGGGGGGGGAGGGGGGGGGGAGACAGGCGATTATAGTGGAGGTCAGACGGTTACAGTGGAGGTCAAAAGGTCATCAGAAATGTCCGACGGTCGCATAAGGAGTCAGCGACACACAGGGATACTTAGGGCCACTGAGGCCCATAAGCATTAGGCAGGTTATTGAGAAAACACAAGGCGTGAGGCTGATGATATTTCATTTACCTATATTAATAGGAGGAATTTGCCATGATAAAAAGCAATAGGGAAAACAAAAGGAACATTGAAAAGGCTGCAACGATGTCCAAAAGCCACCACAACTCCATCAGCATGAAAGATAATTGCATTAAACTGCTACAAGCTATCACATGAAACGATCACCCACCGAGCTGTATCAGACCAGCTGTTACGCCCTCCCTGACCCCCGCCTCGGCGTTCCACTCACATCCAGTGTGCGGAACTGTGCGGGCTCCGGCTCGGGGAAGGCGATGAGGCAGTGTCGCGGCAGGTCGTTGGTGGAGCGCCACCGGCTGGCGGCCTGCGTCACCGTCAGCTGACCCTCGCTCCGGCGGCTGGCCGCCTGTCACACACGGACACATAGACACACGGTGAGGTGTTACAGAGGAACAGAGACTGAAAATCGTGCCAGGACAGGCTAATTTGTGGCAGCGTCACGCCAAGTGGTTTAACACGTCGGCTTAGGTAATCTGTGGTGTGGTGTAGTGCTAGGTCATCCATTCTTGTTCGGACACCCTCTGTGACACGCGCTGCGTCTGTGACACGCGCTGCACAGACACAAAAAGCTCCAGCCAAAATGGTCAATATTTATCTGAGCCAGACTGCTACAGTTACCCTCTTGTTCCTATTCTGATGACCACCTCATTCTCAACTTACATCTACCATTCAACTTCAGTCCTCATCCAGATGTGACGAGCTCTCAATCCCCATCGTCTACCAACCTGCAGTGCTCGCACCATACAGTCGGGCAGTCCACACTCCCGAACCATTGACCCCTGCCCACACCCACCCACCCCTTTGCTGACCTGCAGTACCCGCACCATGCAGTCGGGCAGTCCGCACTCCCGGACCACGCCTCCCCCCCTAAACTGACCTGCAGTACCCGCACCATACAGTCGGGCAGTCCGTACTCCCGGACCATACACCCTCCCCTCCCCTCTACTGACCTGCAGTACCCGCACCATGCAGTCGGGCAGTCCGTACTCTCTGACCACCTGCAGCCCAATCTGCCGCCGGACGCGGGCCGGTGTCAGCAGCAGACACGTGCTGGCCCGCTGGTACAGGCCCGACGACTGGAGCTCCCGCTGCCGCTGCAGCATCGCAGAGAGGATGTCGGCGCGCGGCGCCACTGAAAAACGAGAGCGGGAGGGGAGGAGACAGGTCAGAGGCAGGCAGCAGGACTACTCCTTGACTAGAGGACAAGCTTTAGTGGTCGTAACAGCAGTCTGTGTACATAGCGTCCGCGTCCACCCACCTATAAATCACGCACAATGTTATAAGTAGCAATGCATCCAACGACGCTCTACGACGCCTGACAGCCGTCGAATGCAATGCTGTGACAAGACACATCCCTCTCAACACTCATCCGACCACCCCGAAGCTGAGCAGGCCGGAACAGCCACCACCTCCCCGCCCAGCTCTGGCACAGCCGGCACATCCCCACTCACCCGGTACGTCTTCCTCTCCTGCCGAGGCGTCTCCGTCGGCTGCCGCCGCTGCCGCCGCCGCCGCCGCCGCCGCGCGCGCCTCGTCATCGACCATGTAGAGCGCGTCGGGGATGTTGGCGGCCACGCTGTGCTGGTAGTGGAACACGCCCGTGCCGTACTCATTGCCCAGGTGGGACTCGAGCATCGCCTGGTGGCCAGAGGGCGGGGTGAGGGTTATGGACGGATTGAGAGGCAAATGCGAAGAGAGACGTGATTTGAGCATTAACCCTATTATTGTTTGTTTATTGGAGCTTTAGGGCGCGCCGACTGCTGGGGTCATTTTGCGCCCATTATTAACCCTATTAGTGACAGGCTCCTAGCTAGTGCCCTATTAGTGGCGGGGGAGCTGTTTACGACCTCCGCCCCCCCCCCCCTTCTTGGTATCTCGAGATCTGATGGGCCGATGTACAAAATTTTAACGCTATTCGGTTCAACTCAACATGATCTACATTTCTATGTAAAAAAATCCGAAAATGTATATGGGGGTATAATCTTTTCTTAACGATGGCATGGCAGATCGCTTTAAACGCACAAATAAATACGGCACGAGACGAGGAGGGTCAAAACGTAAAATAAAGAGTACGTGGATATTTTTAGATGGCCAGTGATGGCCATCTAAAAATGCCCTATTAACCCTAAAGGTATTGATGCCTCACGTAGGCTTTTCATCAAAGCGCTTTAAAGCTAAAGCTATCCGCCTTCATAAAACAGACTACAGTGTGTGTGTGTGTGGGGGGGGGGGGGGGGCTCAGCAAATCGCATACACTTTTTTGAATGCTCAACGCGGCTAAGTTTCTGGACCCATTTTGACGCAATAATTGCCGATCGATGCAGAATGAACCAGAAATGAGCATTTATCATAAAATAAGCATTTTGAAAATCATAAGCGGATGATTTTCCATGATGCTGTGACAGGGCTACGACAAATCTCCCCAGGAACTCATCGGCAACAATGCAAGCACAAAAAAGTCTTTAAAGTGAAAACATTTATTAGAGCATAAACCAACTACCAAACTAAACTAAATATAACAAGAACAGGTGAAGTGGGTGCCTTCTTCCCATGCATTCATAAGCCGACATCATCAGATAAAGTAAAAATCACAGAAATTCCTCCCTCATCCAATAGAGAACTTTGCCCGAGTTGGTAGCATCTTTGTTGCTCCAGGGACTGTGGTGGTACCTGGTGGTG